CCACTGCTTTAAGGGGCTTTGCTTGCTTGTGTTTGTCCAGTTGCTGGCATGTCATGGCCCGGTACCGGTCCACGGACCGGGGGTTGGGAACCCCTGCCCTAACTCAGGACATCTTCCACCAGTAAAAAAAAAAAAAAAGCAGATATTTCAAAGAACCCCTGTTAACATTTTTAACTGGGAAGGATGAGAACGAAACGAGAACCACGAAGAATAACTGGCTAAAAGTCCCGTAAACATTTCAGGGGAAATTCTCAGGAACGTCAGTTCGATGAGCAGCTGTGCTTCACCAGTACAAAATTCTTGCAGGCAGATGTCAAAATGTCCTCTTCCAGACAGCAAAATACAAATAGCGTGGAGATGGTTGCTAGGACAAATATTGTCCTGTTTATTCCGGGGTTGACAAACACAGTGTCAGGACAGGGATTTGCAAAGTTCTTTTTCAAAGTAATTCAAGGCCAAATGGGAATTCTTATCCGAATGTTGTCAATACGCCAACTTCAGCTGACAATTTACATTCCACATCCCGCTCGAAGCTAACCAGAAAAGTTGAGATCTACAGCTCCGTTTCGTCAACTCGAGTTTCTCTCACGATTTCCCATTATTTTTTTTTACTCCATCTGTCAAAGGATCCTGCTTGCAAATAAATTTTAAAAAAAAATCAGAATGGTCATTGTTCATATCTGAATCTTTTGCATCCCAACAGGGAATTTGGGGGAGCAATTTTTACGTGTTCTTGATCCTAGTTAAAAGCAGACTTACAGTCGTTCGCTTAGGGACGGCTTAAAGTTGCAACGGCCCTGAAAAAGGCGTCTTATGACTGTTTTCATACTTACGACCAATGGCCATGTGATCAAAATTTCAGATGCTTGGCAACTGACTCACATTTATAATAATAATAATAATAATCTATATAAATAAAAATGTAAATGTTCGTTTGTTCAAAATCTTAAATCTCCGAAAGTTCTTCACCGATTGCTTTGAAATTTTGACACAATGTTGCATTCGAATACGTGCGTGTTTTTATATACCTACTATTATATAGATGTCACACCTGTGACAGGTAAAAGCATGCTTTTTTTGAAAAACAGCGCCATCTGTTGGACGTAAAAGCAACACACGCTTTTACCAGACTGAGCCACAGCAACGCGTGACTGGGTACAGCTAGTAATAATAATAATAATAATAATAATAATAATAATAATAATAATAATGATGATGATGATGATGATGATGATGATGATGATGATGATGATGATGATGATGATGATGATGATGATGCATATAAAGTCAAAATTGAGAAGACAGCAACAAACAGTAAGTGCCGCCTATGCAAAGACGCTGAAGAAACAGTAGACGACCTGGTAAGCTGCTGCAAGAAGATTGCACAGACTGACTACAAGCAGCGGCATGACAAAGTAGCAACAATGGTGCATTGAAAGATCTGCAAGAAATATCATTTGCCTGTAAGCAAAAACTGGTGGGATCATAAAATAGAGAAAGTCATAGAAAATGATAAAATTAAACTGCTCTGGGACTTCAGAATTCAAACAGACAAGCACCTGCCACATAACACCCCGGACTTAACAATTGTCGATAAGAAAGACAAAAAAGTCTGGATAGTGGACGTGGCAGTGCCTGGAGACAGCAGAATAGACGAGAAAGAACTGGAGGAGATGACAAAATACAAAGACCTACAAATAGAAATAGAAAGACTGTGTCAAAGGCAAGCAAGGGTGGTACCAATAGTCATAGGCGCCTTGGGTGCAATCCCAAAACAACTGGAGCACCACTTGAACACCATCATCGGCATTGACAAATTCGCCATTAGTCAATTGCAAAAGGCGGCCTTACTAGGAACCGCTTCCATCCTGCGACGACATCTGTGATACCATCAAACATCCACATCTGCCTATCCCAGGTCCTTGGGAAGGACTCGATAGGTGGACAAAAATGCCAAATCCAGCCTGAACATCTGGCTGACTGTGCGATGATCCATAATAATAATAATAATAATAATAATAATAATAATAATAATAATAATAATAATAATAATAATAGTAGTAGTAGTAGTAATAATAATAAAGTTGGAAGGGACCTTGGAGGTCATCTAGTCCAACACCCTGCTCAGGCAGGAAACCCTAGACCATTTTGGACAAATGGCTGTCCAATCTCTTCTTAAAACTTCCAGTGTTGGAGCATCCACAGCTTCTGGAGGCAGGTTGTTCCACTGGTTAATTGTTCTAACAGTCAGGAAGTTTCTCCTTAGTTCTCGGTTGCTTCTCTCCTTGTTTAGTTCCCATCTGTTGCTCCTTGTCCTGCCTTCAGGTGCTTTGGAGAATAGCTTGACCCCCCCCCTCTTCTTTGGGGCAGCCTCTCAAATACTGGAAGACTGCTATCATGTTCCCCCTTGTCCTTCTTTTCATTAGACTAGCCATATCCAATTCCAGCAACCGTTCTTCGTGTTTGGCCCTGACAGTGAGCACAATTAACCAGTGGAACTACTGGCCTCCAGAAGTTGTGGGTGCTCCAACACTGGAGTTTTCAAGAAGAGACTGGACAACCCTTTGTCTGGAATGGTAGAGGGTCTCCTGCCTTAGCAGGGGGTTGGACTAGAAGATCTTTAAGGTCCCTTTCAACTCTTATTATTCCTTTCATAATAAGCCGCCTCTTGTGGATGTTTGAATCGGTCTCCTTGCCTACCGCAAAAGTTGGATTGGACGGTCCTTGTGGTCCTCCTTACAAGGAATCTGTGTTCTATGAATCTGTGTCACAGAGCAGAAGACAGCTGTTCCATACGTGGAACTCTGCAACTCTTCCTGTAACAGTCCCAACTGTCGCTCCTCAAACTAAATTCAGATGGCTGACTCGGAAACCCCCTCCCCAAAATAGACAGAAATTGTTTGTGGGGGGGGTGTCACACCTCATGTCGACAAAGGAAGGACCTTGGGATCGCGGTTAGAGATGTCGGTGGATTCCCCTTAGTTCTCCAGGCCGACTCAAATCTTGCCAAGTTCTGTAGGACACGTTCTGCTGAAGTTCTCTGCTCCTTCCCCAGCCTGAGAGTCTAAATTCTTTATCAGTCCAGGTGAACTTTGCCCGTTACAGGTGTTTCTGTTTGATCTGCAAGGTCGTGGGCTGAGTTCGCAAAGCTTTGCGGTTAGTGTGCTCATTCAGTTCTGAGGTTAAGGTTTAATACACCAAGTTTGGTCTGGAGCTGATAAGAAACTTGAATTTGAGACACACAGAGAGAGACTTTAACCTTTGAAAAGGAGTTTCCTGGCCCAGCTGAATGTCCGAATTACCAGATAATTTAGGCCAAGCAAAAGTGTTTATTAAAGAGGATGGAGTGTTTTTATAGGGTACAAAAACAAATGATGAATATAGAATAGAATAGAATAGAATAGAATAGAATAGAATAGAATAGAATAGAATAGAATAGAATAGAATAGAATAGAATAGAAAATAGGGAATAGAATAGAATAGAATAGAATAGAATAGAATAGAATAGAATAGAATAGAATAGAATAGAATAGAATAGAAGGAAAATTAATAGAATAGAGTAGAGTAGAGTAGAGTAGAGTAGAGTAGAATAGAATAGAATAGAATAGAATAGAATAGAATAGAATAGAATAGAATAGAATAGAAAATAGGGAATGGAATGAATAGAATAGAACAGAACAGAACAGAATAGAATAGAAGGAAAATTAATAGAATAGAATAGAAGGAAAATAAAATAGAACAGAATAGAATAGAAGGAAAATAGAATAGAATAGAACAGAATAGAATAGAATAGAATAGAAAATATGGAATAGAATAGAATAGAATAAAAGGAAAATAGAACAGAATAGAATGGAAGGGAAATAAATAGAATAGAATAGAATAAAATAGAATAGAATAGAATAGAAAATATAGAATGGGATATAGAATAGAATAGAATAGAATAGAAGGGAAGGGAAGGGAAGGGAAGGGAAACAGAACAGAACAGAACAGAACAGAACAGAATAGAATAGAATAGAATAGAATAGAATAGAATAGAATAGAATAGAAAATATGGATTGGAATGGAGTAGAATAGAATAGAATAGAAGTTGAAAGGGACATTGGAGGTCTTCTAGTCCAGCCCCCTGCTCAAGCAGGAGAACCTAGACCGTCTCAGACAAGTGACTGTCTAGCCTCTTCTTAAAAATCTCCAGTGATGGAGCGCCCACATCCATCCAGTAGAGGTGACATGTCATTAATGACACGTGAAAGCAAGGGGTCAAAGAATGAAAGGCAGGAATGACACATGAGAACTGAACGGCTTCAAGAACTGTATGGCTTCAAGATAACATTCCACAAATGGCAATCACAAAAACAGAGTTGGAAGGGACCTTTAGAGGTCTTCTAGCCCAACCCGTTGCTCAAACAGGAAACCCTGTGGCATTTCGGACAAACAGAACTGAAAAAAAGGGACCTATGACCGTTTTTCACCCTTATGACCGTTGCAGCATCCCCAGGGTCACATGACTCACATCTGGATGCCTGACAACTGACTCATATTTATGACGGTGGCAGCGTCCCAGAGTTACGTGATTCCCCCTTTTGTGACTCTTCTGATGAGCAAAGTCAACGGGGGAAGCCCAGATTTGTTTAACAACCGTGTTATTAGTTTAACAACTGCAAGGATTCACTTAACAACGGAGAAACATCGTAAAACGGAGGAAAACTCGCTCGACAAATTTTCCCCCTTAGTAACGTAAACTTTGGGCTTCGTTGCGGTCCTAAAATTGAGGACTGCCTGTATTTTTCTGAGTGCTGGATTTTTTTTTAAAATTGTTTCTAGGAGTCTCCCAAACGTCACCCAGGTGCCAAAATATTTCCACCCTTCTGCTCATTAAAAGAAAAATAGATTTTCCCGGCCTCTGAGAAAAGAACTCGGCGTGTCAGGATTTGAAACCTTGTCCAAGCGGGGGAAAAAATATTGACAAGATTTATTTTATTTCCAGGTTGATTTCGTGCACGATGAGCAGTTTCTTCTTGATGCACGAGCTGCATTTCTCTCCCCATCCGAACCTGGTAAATAATGTTTTTTTTTTAATTGAAAGAAGGAAAAGTTTTAGTTTATTAGATTCATTGCACGGTACAAATCCAGCAATTAATTATTCTCGTAAAGCGTTGGTCATTCGCAAGAGTGAAGTTCAACCCTGTCAGAAAATTTCCTTTCTAAAAAACTAACTTTGATTAGATCAGTCTTTGTCGACATGGGCAACTTTAAGACCTGTGGACTTCGACTCCCAGAATTCCCCAGCCAGCACAGCTGTGCTGGCTGAGGAATTCTGGGAGACGAAGTCCACAGGTCTTAATGTTGCTGAGATGGCTGTGAAGCGGTTGGAGTTTGAGTTCATGGAGTTTGAGCTGGGGAATTCTGGGAGCTGAAGTCCACTCATTTTCAAATTGTTGAGAGAGCTGGGGGATTCTGGGAGTTTGAAGTCCACCCACCTTCACGTTCTTGAGATAGCTAGGGAATTCTGGGAGCTGAAGTCCACCATTCTTCAAGTTCTTGAGATAGCTGGGGAATTGTGGGAGTTTGAAGTCCACCCATCTTCACGTTCTTGAGATAGCTAGGGAATTCTGGGAGCTGAAGTCCACCATTCTTCAAGTTCTTGAGATAGCTGGGGAATTGTGGGAGTTTGAAGTCCACCCATCTTCACGTTCTTGAGATAGCTAGGGAATTGTGGGAGTTTGAAGTCCACCCATCTTCACATTCTTCAGAAAGCTGGGGAATTCTGGGAGCTGAAGTCCAACCATCTTCAAGTTGCCAAGGCTGAGAAACCCTGGTTAGATAATGTCTGACCCAACTCGATCCTCCTTACAGAGAGTTGACGTTCCTCAAAATTCCTCTCCAGCTCCTGTAAGTTAGTGTGTGGAGGTACCCAAAGGTGTTTTTTCCAAAAGGCAACTGGATATCCTCAGTTGTTTTTTTATCTTGGAAAAGTTTGCCTTCTCATCCAAGAAGTTCCTTCAGTGGTGTGAGGTGCACCGAGGTGGCACCTCACAATGGCTGTGCCAAGGCCAAGCGAGCTGATTGGTTAAGCGGTTTAATCCAGTCTTCAGAGCTGGAGGAACAAGAGAAGATCCCTTAGGGATCACCCAGAAGGGGACAAGATGTCCAGGTTTCTCGCCACACGACGGAAACGGGATAACTAAGGTTTCAGGACCAGATTAAGGAATGGGGTAGCTAGGTTAGTATGTGCACAATTTTGGAAAAATGAAGAAACTCCTACAGAGGAGAATATAATTAAAAAAAATACTGGGATGCGCAGAAATGGATAGGTTAACGTTAAAAATGAAAGAAAAAGAAGAAACGGAATATGATATGACATGGGACATTATTTTATCAATGGTTAGCCGATAAAAATAGAGGTCAGAAAGTTGGAAATATGAGAATATGTGGATGATGTAAGCAAGATTTAATAATAATAATAATAATAATTAATAATAATGATAATGATAATGATAATGATAATGATAATGATAATGATAATGATAATGATAATGATGATAATGATAATGATAATGATAATGATGATAATAATATAATGATGATAATGATGATAATGATGATGATGATAATAATAATAATAATAATAATAATAATAATAATAATAATAATAATTAATAATAATAATAAAGTTGGAAGGGACCTTGGAGGTCATCTAGTCCAACCCCCTGCTCAGCCAGGAAAACCCTATATCATTTCAGACAAATGGCTGTCCAGTCTCTTCTTAAAAACCTCCAGTGTTGGAGCATTCACCGCTTCTGGAGGCAGGTGGTTCCACTGGTTAATTGTTCTCACCGTCAGGAAGTTTCTGAACGGATTAGTGAATACTTTGATTGTTATATAACTAATGTCAATGCAGGCCATCCTATTTTTAACATTTGGAGTGCTATGTCCTAGTCTACGATTGTATTTCGATAAGATTATTACGCACGTGGAGATGGTTATATTTTAATACGTGTGTATACCTAGGCAACACACTGTTCAATGCAGAAATGGAATTTTTTTAAAGTAACAATCATAAAACATTTTAAAAGAAAAAAAGAGGAATGGGGTGGAATCAGAGCAGGAGAGAAATGGAAATTTGGGAGGGGGGTGGGGGAGAATATAGGACCACCATCACCAGGCCCTGGTTGAGCTTTCATGAAAAGGGGGTGCAGGTTCAAGCTTTTTCGTGTCACCCCACTTTGCGTACAACTGGGCTTTTCCTGTCCCTGGCCAGACCCAATATTTCATCCCTCTGACCGATGCGGATTTTCAAGAGCGCTTGGAGCAGCACCGGAGGGAGACGGCCGTCATGCTCAGGTCTTCGGAATTCAACCAGGACAAGACGGCGCTGATCGTCACCAACAGCCCGTTTCCTCTGCTGGTCTCCGGCACGCACCTGGCCACCCCTTTCCAGTACTTCCCCAAAGACTGGTTGAGGAGGGTAAGGGGGCTCGTCCCTTTCGCCCAACGGGGAAAAAGAACGGACGGACGAATGAATGAATGAAATGAAGGAATGAAATGAGGGAGGGAGGGAGGGAGGGAGGGAGGGAAGGAAGGAAGGAAAAGGAAGGAAGGAAGATAGGTAAGTAGGTGGGTAGGTAGGTAGGTAGGAAGGAGAAGAAAGGAAAATAGAAAAAAAGAAAGAAGGAAGGAAGGAAGGAAGGAAGGAAAAGGAGGGAGGGAGGAAGGAAGGAAGGAAAAGAAGTGAAAGGAAGGAAGGAAGGAAAGGAAGGAGGAAAAGGAAGGGGAAGGAAGGTATGTATGAAGGAAGGAAGGAAGAATGGAAGGAAGGAGAGAAGGAAGGAGGGGAAGATAGGTAAGTAGGTGAGTAGGTAGGAAGGAAGGAAGGAAGGAAGCAAGGAAGGAAGGAAGGAAGGAAGGAAGGAAGCAAGGAAGGATGGAAGGGCAAGATAGGTAAGTAGGTGAGTAGGAAGGAAGGAAGGAAGGATGGAAGGGGAAGGAAGGAAGGAAAAGAAGAAAGGAAAATAGAAAAAGAAAGAAAAAAGGAAGGAAGGAAGGAAGGAAGGAAGGAAGGAAGGAAGGAAGGAAGGAAGGAAGGAAGGAAAGAAAAATGTCCTCTCACATTTAATAGGAGGGAATCCATAGAGTAGCTGTATCCTTTACTTTTTTACTTAATTGGAATAACACAATAGCAGAACTGGAAGGGGCCTCAGAGGTCATCTAGCCCAACCCCCCGTTTTAATCCTAAAACTGGATGAACAAAAACACGTTTGGGGCTTTCCCTAGCATGCTACACAGAAGTGTAAGAGAAGGACTAGGGATGATTCGGGGCGAGTGTGTTTGCGAATATTGCACAGCCAGGAAAGATACAGGCAGCCCTCGACTTACGACTGGTCGCTTAGTGACCGTTCAGACTTAACGACGGATCTTCCCGGAGCTACTTAAAGACTCCCATTTGAAGTTACAACACCCACCCGCCTGGTCACATGATCCCATTGTGTGTACCCAGCAACTAGTCTACATGTATTGCTATTGGCTGCATCCTGTGGTCATGTGACCACAATGTATGAACCCCCCCCCCCCCAACTTGGCATTTAATCCCAGTGTCGGGAAAAATATAGCCCATTGTGGACAATGGATTCAATTAACGACCGCCACCGAAAAGGTGGTAAAACTGGGCACCGCCACAGGCTGACCCGCTTAACGACCAGCCCAACTTAATGACCGTAATTCCGGGCTCAGTAACGGTCGTAAGTTGAGGACTGGCTGTATCCAAGGGGACCCCCCCCCCCAACGTCACGAGGGCACTGACGGTCTTCCTTTCCCACCCAGCCTTTCCCGCAGAGCTTCCGGGATCAAACCCCTCGCGGCTTGCCCCCGGTAGGGGGCTCATCCAAGGAAGCCCCTGGGATGGAAACCAAAAAGCTGAAAATCCCGGGCCAACTCAGGTACCGACTCTGACAGGCTGTGCATCATGGTTTTTCTTCCCTGCTAAAGCAGCTTTAGAGATGGGGGGCCCCAAATCAAGAGCGACAACGGATGATTCTTCCGAGCGGAGCCCTTCAAGTTTCTCTTAGTAGTAATAATAATAACAACAACAACAACAACAATAATAAAGTTGGAAGGGACCTTTGAGGGCATCTAGTCCAACCCCCTGCTCAGGCAGGAAACCCTATACCAGGGGTAGGCAACCTTGGTTCTTTTATGACTGGTGGACTTCAACTCCCAGAATTCCTGAGCCAGCCATGCTGAGGGGACAGGGAGAGGTTTCCAAGCTGAGCCATGCTGGCTCAGGAATTCTGGGAGTTGAAGTCCACGAGTCATAAAAGAGCCAAGGTTGCCTACCCCTGCCCTATACCATTTCGGCCAACTCTTTGAAGTTGCAACGGCCCCGAAAAAGAAGGACTTAGGACCCTAGTTTCACACTTACGACCTGTTGTAAGCATCTCCGGGGGTCACGGGATCAAAATCCAGAGGCTTGGCGACTAACTCATCTTTATGATGGTGATAGCGTCCCCGGGGGCACGGGATCCCTTTTTTGCTACCTTCGGACAAACAAAGTCATCTGGTCGTTAGTACTCTTCCTGAGAGTTATTGAGCCCGCTTGGAGGTTTATCCGTGCTCTGTTTTGAAGACGGCAAAGTCCACATTCTGGGCAGAGAGGACCCATGGTTTGAAGGAGGGAGGGTCAAAGGGGCCATCTACATTAAGACTGAACAGCCCTCCCTCAACAGAGGGGGGTGGGATACAACAACACAGTCTTGTCAGCAGTTCCAAGAAGGTGTCATGCCTCCGTCGGAGGAAAATGAGCTGGAACGGACACTATGGAGGTTGAGGGAGAGGTGTCTGTGGCTTCAGAGGAATGTGGGGAAGAGCAGGCCAAGGCAGGCCAGAATTGGGACAGGAGGAACAGGAGAGGCAGAGTTCAGGCGATGAGCAAGGGCCACCCCCTCCTGATCCTAGAGTATGGAGAGTGGAGAGAAGGAGGGGACAACGCAGGCAGGCTCAACTACTCGGGAGGAGAGCATCCCACCCTTCTTCACAAGGAACACCTGGAGACTGAGATTTAAGAAGATGCTGTGGGGAGAGGCATTTGTCGGGAACAAACGCTGATTCCTTGGAGTTTTGTGTGTGTTGTTGCCGATCTCTTGTTCTGTGACTTCTGCTTGGAAACCCGGAAACTCTGACCATTGGACTGGCTGACAACGTTGCTTGGATGTTCAAAGATCTCGGACTGTATTTTGGCTTCCCTTTTGAAACTGCTCAGGCAAGCATGTATTCACACAGACTCATTAGGTTTATGATGTATGTGTCCAGTGCTTTTTTTCTAAAAAAAAAAAAAAAAAAAAGGTGCCGGAACTCACACACGTCATACAACCCGCCTTGCCTACCCTACAAGGTTCCATCCCAAAAAGGTGCCGGAACTCCGTTCTGGGCGTTCTATGAGAAAAAAAGCCCTGTATGTGTCATTCTTTCCTATCTCCGTAGCCTTGAGTAAATTCCTCTCCTAATCAGACTGTATGTGAAACTGCTTGCAGCCAGAGGCGGCTGAAGGTGTGTGTGTGTGTCTTCCTTTGTTTGGAGGCTGGCCAGAAACGTGGGAGCATTTGGGGAAAATTTGGAGCAATTAAAGGGCAGTTTGAATTGCCAGCTGACTGTATTGCCTTTGTGCTGTGCCCTGGGTCATCACAGAAGACTCCACACCCATTTGCACTATTCGGGTGACCCTGAGAGCATAGATAAACCTCCAAGCGGCTTCAACGATTCTCAGGAAGAATACTAAACGACCAGATGACTGCAAGGATTATAAATCCTTCCATCTTCCACCATTCGGTCAGAACTGAAGAAGCTTCTTGAATGAGAAGCGAAACATCTTCAAGGAAAAACAAAGTCCAGGTGCCTTTTGAAAAAAAAAACAAACATCTTTGGGACAACCATGACCTGGATGGCTGAGAATCTCCATAGTAGACATTTACTCCGGGAAATAATTCTTTTTTTCATCTCTTTTCAATACGTTCCCATAATTATTCTTAAGAAGGAGCTGCTTCATCTCCACAAGTGCTTTTTTGTGGGCAGAAATTTGAGATAGGGAGATTTATTTGTATTTTATTTTATTTTATTTTTTTTTAAAAATCCTTTTTAGCAAATCTTTGGTTAGCCGCCTGACGCAGTCCGGTGGCCCAAAGTGTGATTGCTGATGGTGCAAAAAGAGATTGCCTGGTTCTCAAGAAACATATCTCTTCTTTGAAGCAGGTTTACCAACAAGAAGGATTTCAAAGGCGAAGCCCATTTTTCCAAAAATTACGCCGAGAGGCGTTTGCAAAGGTTGTATCCCCAGTTACACCTTCATTCCAGATTAGGTAAGATGTGGCCTCTTAATGGCTATAGCAGGGGTCTTCAAACTGGGCCCTTTTATGACTTGTGGACTTCAACTCCCAGAATTCCTCAGCCAGCCTCCATTTTGTTTGTTAGATTTAAGGCAGGGGTCTTCCAACTTGGCCCTTTGATGACTTGTGGACTTCAACTCCCAGAATTCCTTCAAGTTTGGCTGGCTGAGGAATTCTGGGACTTGAAGTCCACAAGTCATCAAAGGGCCATGTTTGAGGGGACTCGTGTGGCGGGGATGGGCCGTGGCGACAAATCCTAAATATTGGCTTTAATCTTGCCGATACAGCTAGTCCTCTCTTGACAACAGTTCATTTAGTTCGAAGTTACAGCGGCACTGAAAAAAGTGACGTAGGGCTGTTTTTCACACTTAACGACCATTGCTGCACGTGATCAAAATTCAGAGGCTCAGCAACTGGCTCGTATTTACAACGGTTGCAGTGTCCCCGGGATCATGTGATCTCCTTTTGCAACCTTCTGACAAGCAAAGTCCATAGGGGAAGCCAGTTCCCTTAACAACCGTGTGACTATCTTAAAAATTGCAGCGATTCACTTAACAAATTATGGCAAGAAGGGGGGGGAAAGGAGGGGGAAACTCCCTTCATCATTGTCTCGCTTAGCCACAAAAATGTGGGGGTGTATTGTGGTTGTGAGTCCAGGACTACCTGTATTGTTCCACACCTCTAGACGGAATCTTGCCAAAATGAAGTACGATCTGAATCTACAATATTCTCTGGGAACTGTTAGGGAGGGCCTGTCTTCACCCTCTTTCACACATAAGATCCGGTCTATGTTGCCTCTTATTCCTCCCCAATCCATCCCTTCCCTCCTGGAAAAATCCCTTTCCCCCCCCCTCACTATGCGAGGGCAGTAAATTTCTCATTTAGCAACCTAAATTCCAGGCTCAACTGTGGTCGTACGTGGAGGACCTGCCTGTAAACAGAGATGGCGTCCTCATTTTTCCCTGTGTCCGCTTTTCCTTGCAGATGACTGGAAAAACCAACCCCTTCCCAGGATTCAGGGGTGGCCTGCCGCCAAGATTCAGTGGGAGCCCCTGACCCTTTCCTGCCTGACTGAAATGAAGCCCACCTTTCTTGTCCCCGGAGAAAACGGCTTTAGACACGGGAAAGCTCCTCTCTGGATTGTAAATAACTCAGTGGTATTAAATTCCCCCCAGTAAAAATCTCAGCTGGCTGACTGTATTCTGGTGGGTTTGGTTACTCCGTGATGTGCAGGCTTCAGTTCCTACCAAGGACAGGGGTGTGAAACAATGGCCCCCTTTATGACTTGTGGACTTCAACTCCCAGAATTCCTGAGCCAATATGGCTGGATGGCCCCCTTTATGACTTATGGACTTCCACTCCCAGAATTCCTGAGCCAATATGGCTGGATGGCCCCCTTTATGACTTGTGGACTTCCACTCCCAGAATTCCTGAGCCAATATGGCTGGATGGCCCCCTTTATGACTTGTGGACTTCCACTCCCACAATTCCTGAGCCAATATGGCTGGATGGCCCCCTTTATGACTTGTGGACTTCAACTCCCAGAATTCCTGAGCCAGTATGGCTGGATGGCCCCTTTATGACTTGTGACAGCTGGCTCAGGAATTCTGGGAGTTGAAGCCCACAAGTCATAAAGGGGCCATCCAGCCATACTGGCTCAGGAATTCTGGGAACTGAAGTCCATCATTGACAAACACGCCCTGGAAGACATACTACCCTTAAGGCGTAATTGCAAAGTTGACTTTATTAGATGCTTAGAAGTTCCTAGATGCTTGCTAAGTTCCTAGCAAGTTCCTACAGGATGTGTAACAATGTTGGCTGGTTTACAAGGGCATTTTCGGTTTAGGCTGACGAGGCCAGCATCTTCTAGTGCAGAAGCCAAACCATCCTGAAAATGAAGGTGTTTTTCTTCTGATTGGTCAGTATTCTTGGTCATCTTCGGCATCAGATCCGTACCTGCCCGTATCTTCTCCAACTTCTTCGTAATCCTTCTCCAGAGCCGCCAGGTCTTCCCGAGCTTCGGCAAACTCGCCTTCCTCCATGCCTTCTCCCATGTACCAGTGGACGAAGGCCCGCTTGGCGTACATGAGGTCAAACTTGTGGTCCAGACGGGCCCAGGCCTCGGCAATTGCCGTGGTGTTGCTGAGCATGCAGACCGCCCGCTGCACCTTGGCCAGGTCTCCGCTGGGCACCACGGTGGGTGGCTGATAGTTGATGCCCACCTTGAAGCCGGTCGGGCACCAGTCGACAAACTGGATGGTTCTCCTAGCCTTGATGGCTGCGATGGCCGCGTTGACGTCCTTCGGCACCACGTCTCCCCGGTACAAGAGGCAACAGGCCATGTATTTGCCCCGGCGAGGGTCACACTTGACCATCTGGTTGGAAAACTCAAAGCAGGCGTTGGTGATGTCTGGCACGGAGAGCTGCTCGTGGTAGGCCTTTTCGGCTGAGATAATGGGGGCGTAAGTGGTCAAGGGGAAGTGGATTCGAGGGTATGGCACCAGGTTGGTCTGGAATTCGGTGAGGTCCACATTCAAAGCTCCGTCGAACCTCAAGGAAGCGGTGATGGAGGACACAATCTGCCCGATTAAGCGGTTGAGGTTGAGGTAGGTTGGATATTCAACGTTGAGGTTCCGGTTGCAGATGTCGTAGATGGCTTCGTTGTCCACCATGAAGGAGCAATCCGAGTGCTCCAGGGTGGTGTGGGTGGTCAGGATGGAGTTGTACGGTTCCACCACTGCGGTCGAAATCCGCGGCGCAGGATACACGGAGAACTCTAGCTTAGCTTTCTTCCCAAAACTCATCGAAAGCCGTTCCATCAGGAGAGAGGTGAATCCTGAACCCGTGCCTCCTCCGAAGCTATGGAAGAGCAGAAAACCTTGGAGGCCACTACATTGCTCAGCCTGGAAGAGAAGACCCTAGCGTAAGTTCCTCGTTCATGAAGCATTGAGAAAACGTGGTGAGGGACACACTTGTGGGAGAAGGCCTCTAGGACAGGACCACACATGGTAGTAAGAATGCAAAACCAGGATGAACTGGGTAGATCAAAGCTTGGACTCCATCAGAGTTCAGTAGATCACAGACAACTTTGGAGTTTAGCCTTGACTAGTAGGGATTGTGGTTCAGAGTCCTATTTAAATACTACGTTGGACCAGCAAGGGTGAGACGGTCCTCGGGATCCAATCTATTACCTATCCTCCCTGGGTCAAAAAATGGTATGACCTAGTGGTTGGGTTGAGAATGGAGACTATCCAGAGGTGGTTGCTAAATTACGGGTGTTCGTTGACAAGAGGAGACTCAGAGATGAGTTAAAGTTGTTGGGTTAGGAAGGACACCATGTTGAAGCTATCGTCACGGCGGGCCTGTATCTAAGATCAGTGTTTGTCAACCTTGGGAATTTTAAGATGGGTTGGACTTCAACTCCCAGAATTCCCTAGCCAGGAGAATTCTGGGAGTTGAAGTCCATCCATCTTAAAAGTCTCAACGTTGACAAATATAGAGTGATCCTCACTTTGAGAGGTCAACCAGGTCAACGCCTCAATATATACTTCTTATTCAGCTGCCATGTCAACCAGGTTTAGGAGCTTCGGCATGTTCATACAACCTGCTGGACTGGGCTAATACAGGATTGAAATTTTGAGAGTCCGTGGGTTGTACGAACCAGGTCATTCTGGGAGAACAAGCATAGACTCTTCCCTATTCCATCAATGGCCCACCAAGGATGTTCATCCTAATGGTCAAGAGTTGGGATGGTGGGAATTCACAACATCTGGAGACCCGGTGTCCTTAGAGTAGACTTCCTCAAGTCAATAAGACTACAACACCCATAATTCTCAAACATCAGACAGGAACGATGGGAGCAGAGCCCAGGAGGCACTATATGGAGAAATCCTGAAGGAGTTCAGCTTTATATTTATTATTTATGCTTTTAGACTTGCCTCTTCTCTGAAATCTTTAGGAAATCTCCATGGAAGAGGCTACAGCAACTCCCCTAAAAGGTAGACTTGCTGGTTGAAAGCTAACGAGATTTGTGATTTTGCTGGCGCTCGATATGGTTCTTCCAAGTTCTAGGCCTGAACTATGATGCTACCCTAGTTCTCCCCCATTTTAACTCAAGAGGACCATCATGGAACAGCCTTGGCCCTGCACGGTCTACCTGAGGCGGCCAGGGAACTGGTGCGCTGCTCACCATTTTGCGAATCCTATCCAGCACGGTGTCGATGATTTCTTTTCCGACAGTGTAGTGGCCTCGGGCATAATTGTTGGCGGCGTCTTCTTTGCCGCTGATCAGCTGCTCCGGGTGGAACAGAGAGCGGTAGGTCCCACAACGGATTTCGTCTGTAGAGAGAGGGATATAGGAGATTAACAAGCCCCATGCCAGTCTCAAGAGCAAACCATTCAGATAGGTTGCACAAAACTGCAACGGGACACAGCTGCACACCAACCCACACTTGGGGTCCATTCTGGCTCTGCATTACTGTACAGGTAGTCCTCGGCTTACAACGTCTCATTTAGTGACCGTTGAAAGTGACAACGACCCTGAAAAATGTGACTTCCGACCGTTTCTCACACTTAAACGACGGTTGTAGAATTCCTGCGGCCGTGCGATCCAAATTCAGATGCTTGGCAACTGGTTGTTGCTGTGTCTCGGGATCAACGTGATCCCTTTTTGTGAGCTAAGTCAATGGGGGGGGGGCAAAGGCAGATTCACTTAACAGACGGGTTACTAACTAATCAAACCGCAGTGATTCATTTATCAACAGTGGCAAGAAAAGTTGTAAAGTGGGGGCAAAGCTCACTCAACAAAGGTCTCACTTAACCACAGAAATTTTCGGCTCAATTGTGGTCGTAAGTCGAGGACCACCTGTATTTCTCTTGACCTCTACTACAGAGGTCCCCCACCTTTTGGGCTCCAGGGACCGGTTCCGCGGAGAGAGGTTTTTCCACAGACCGGAGAGTGCGTGGTTTTGTGTGCTGCCTTGTTTGTGCGGACCGGTTGCTGGCATGCCGTGGACTGGGATCGGTCCATGGACCGGGGGTTGAGGACCTGCCTTAAATCACAGTTTAGGTTAGCCCAAGAGTCTTACGTATTTGGGGCCAGTGGCACACACACACAAGATAGCTACTGCAATGGGGGAACCTGGCTTTATAAATCACGGTTTACAGCTTAGCAAGGGGAACTGATCCAATTGTAGCTTAGTCAACCAACCAGGATTAAATGAATGTATGAATAGAATAGAATTAGAATTAGAATTAGAATTAGAATTAGAATTAGAATTAGAATTAGAATTAGAATTAGAATTAGAATTAGAATTAGAATTAGAATTAGAATTAGAATTAGAATTAGAATTAGAATAGGATAGGATAGGATAGAATTAGAATTAGAATTAGAATAGAATAGAAATATAGAATAGAATAGAATTAGAATTAGAATAGAATAGAATAGAATAGAATAGAATAGAATAGAATTAGAATTAGAATTAGAATTAGAATTAGAATTAGAATAGAAATATAGAATAGAATAGAATAGAATAGAAATATAGAATAGAATAGAATAGAAATACAGAATAGAATAGAAATACAGAATCCTTCTGTCTTACTTCCTTCTTACATCCATCCATCCATCCTTCTATTCTTCCTTCTTTCTTACTTTCTTCTTCCATCCATCCATCCATCCATCCATCCATCCTTCCATCCATCTTTCCATCCATCCTCCTTCCATCTTCCTTCCTTCCTCCATCCCTCCCTCCCTCCCTCCCTTCCTTCTTTTCCTTCCTTCCTTCCTTCCTTCCTTCCTTCCTTCCTTCCCTCCCTCCCTCCCTTCTTTTCCTTCCTTCCTTCCTTCCTTCCTTCCTTCCCTCCCTCCCTCCCTTCCATCCACATTGCCCAGTACCTATGACTGTTGGTTCCAGATCTATAAACACAGCTCGGGGAACATGTTTCCCAGCCCCCGTTTTGCAAAAAAAGGTCTCAAACGAAGCAGTGGCTTGGCTCGGCCCATTGCTGATGGGGATGGTCCCGTCCGGCAGGATGTTGTGTTCCAGGCAATACAGCTCCCAGCATCCGTTTCCCATTTGGACCCCGGCCTGACCGACATGGATGGAAAGACACTCCCTCTGGAAGAGAGAGACGTACGGAGAGCGTGACACACAGATGGGTGGACTTCAACTCCCAGAATTCCCCAGCCAGCATGCTTTAAGATGTGTAGCCTTCAATTCCCAGAATTCCCCAGCCGGCCTGCTTTAAGATGGGCGGACTTCAACTCCCAGAATTCCCCAGCTGGCTTGCTTTAACAGGGGTGGACTTCAACTCCCAGAATCCCGCAGCCGGCATGTTTTAAGATGGGTGGACTTCAATTCCCAGAATTCCCCAGCCGGCCTGCTTTAAGATGGGCGGACTTCAACTCCCAGAATTCCCGAGCCAGTTAGGCTAGCTGATGTCCACCCAACTTAAAATCGCTGCCTTGTGGCTGGGGAACTCTGGGAGTTGAAGTCCCCCCATCTTAAAAGTTGCAAGGTTGGAAAACACTGTTGTGGGGACACAAGACCTACAACCATGAGGATGTATTTAATCGCTGGAGGGTTTTAAGAAGAGACTGGACAGCCCCTTGCCTGAAATGGTCTAGTAGGGTCTCCTGCTTGAGCAGGGGGTTGGACTAGAAGACCTCCAAGGTCCCTTCCAACTCTGTCTGTCTATGTTCAATCTTCTTTCTTGAAAACTGCCAAGTTTTCAAAGTCTCTTCCCTTAATGTGGGGATGACAGCCATCAGTCCATTTGAGGGGAATCTGGGTGGTCTTATGTCTCCCAACCAGAGGATTTAAGCAGGCCCAAAGAGTTCAGTGTAGGATAAAAACCACACTTTCTATCCAAAAATGTCGGCCACGCCTTGTTTGGAAGGTCAACCTGTGGCCAGATCTGCCCATATTTTTTCTCATCTTTCCAGGCTACGTTACTCCTTCTAATAAATATTGCTAAGCATTCACTCTCCCTGTCTATGATCTGTTGCAACCCACCGCCAGCAAGGCTAAGATTAAAATGTTCTTTCGCCCCCCTGACTAGTCATTCTTTTATTTATTAAATTCCGATCCCACCTTTATTACTTTATAAGGAATGGAAGGCACCAAACCTCCTTCGTCCTCCTTATTTTTCCCGGGCCATTTATGCCAATCCCTACCTCCTCCCCCTCAACTTATGTTAGTTTAATTCATTCTAAAGTCGCGCCAGTGTCTTCTAAGATCACATACCATTGTGAGAAGACACAATTCCTTCCGGTTTCTCCTTTTTCTGGATAAAAGAACTCCTCCATCAACATTCCACCCGCTGCATTTTTCCCCCGCCTGGGACTTTTATAACAGAAGGCAAATGGACCCAGCTGTGACGATGCATCCATTTAAGAGCGCAGGTCCTTTTTCCAAGAAAGGTTTGGCTGAGTTCAGACAACAAGCAACATCTGGCTTGCAGGGATGGGCGGT